CTTGAACTAAGATCTAACTCTTCTTATTGCAAGAAAATCATTCTGTACACAAGAAAAGATTTCTTGAACTATTATCTAACTCTTCTTGTGGCAAGAAAACCATTCTCCTCGCAAGGAAAGATTTCTTGAACGAAGATCTAACTGTTCTTGTAGTAAGAAAACCATTCTCCCCACAAGAAAAGACTTCTTGAACTAACATCTAACTGTTCTTGTGGCAAGAAAACCATTCTGGATTCTGTACAGAAGAAAATATTTTTTTAACTAAGAGCTAACTGTGCTTGTAGCAAGAAAACCATTCTGTACACAAGAAGAGATTTCTTGAACGAAGAGCTAACTGTTCTTGTAGCAAGAAAATTTCTGTACACAAGAAAAGATTTCTTGAAATAAGAGCTGACTCTGTTCTTGTAGCAAGAAAACCATTCTGCCCACAAGAAAAGAAATACAATGTATATAGTGCTACCTAAATAGAAAACGGACAATAATGTATAGCAACTAGGGGGTTAAAATCATCTTTATTACAATTTTGAGACAAACTTACACAAGACGAATATGTTAAAATGCCTAGGACGACCCCTTCTCTGGGTTTAATTACCCAGGGGGCGCAAGGTAAACTTATAGTTGGTGTGCGTCAGACAGTTTAAACCTCAACAATGCTTAAAAATTCTAACAAGTATTATACAATTAGACAATGGCATGCTAGCATATTGCACCTAAATACTTATTGCACTATTAACCACTTGCGAACAGTCCTGAGGGAGTTTCCCAGCCCACTGTATTTCTGGCACATGTTATTTTGAAAAGCATTTGGACAGTATAGAGATTTTATTTTCACATTGATTTTTGTACAATGTATCTAATTAAAAATATCAGTCCATCAACATTCTTGGAATGGAAACAGTTTAACAGTAGCTTTCAAAATATTATAGGATGTAACTAACAAGCCATTATAATTTCAGAATACAGATCGTATCACATTCTGATCAGAAACATATTCAGCAAAAACTGAAGTTTTCGCATTATAGAATTGGCAAAGTCACACCCTTTGGACACCTGAAAACAACAGGAAAGACCTTTGATAGTTTGCATGCGTGTACTGAAGGCAACAAGTCAAAAGAGGATGCTAAAATACTATTTTTATTACTTGGAGTAAACAATTTAAAAGTATATTAGAAAGCACTGTAATAAACTTTACTATACAATACACCAGAGATATATGATTTGACTTTGAAATTAACCCCAATGGTGTTGTAACAATATCTGGGCTATGAAGTCTAAATACAATGTCAACAGATCTTTAATATATAGGTGGGGAGGGGGGCGCACTTACCTTCAATCTGTTTGGTTTCATGCTTTTTCTGTTGCAAAGTTGGTTTCTTCAGCAAGCTGACCACGATCACCATTGCTTCACATGTACACAAGGTCCTTTTTAATTTGATTTTAACTTCAAATCTGACATGAGTCAGTAACTGAACAAAAATAAGTAACCAGCGCGGCTCCTACATCTGACTTACATTCAAAACCCCCTAACTGCATTCTGGGATTTGAATCAACCAATCAGGGGTTCAGAAAAGGTCACATGACAAGAAAAAAACTAGAAAAAAGTTCTTACATCATCTTGAACATTACCAGGCAAAATAAGATTCATCTTTCTTAAAACTTTCTGGTATTTTCTTAAATGTTGCTAAGAAAAACAGAATGGCCTTTCTTAAACTTTCTAGGGAAGAAAATCAAGAATGTTTAAGAATATAATACTAGCCATATCTTCAGCCTAACCAAAGATCAATTTTATATCAGACTTTCTTTTTTTTTTCTTATCAGTATTTGTGAAGAAAGATAAGAACTTAATTCTTGTATTTTCTTAAATGTTGCCAAGAAAAACAAGAATGATTTTTCTTAAGCTTTCTAGTCAAGAAAAACAAGAAACTTTAAGAAAGAAACATAAGCAGAGCTTTATTCTAATAATAGATTTAGATAATTAAATTTCTTGGTTTTCCAATCAGTGTTTCCCGAGAAAGACAAGAACCAAATTCTTGTATTTTCTTAAACATTGCTAAGAAAAACAAGAATGGCCTTTTTCAATCATTCTCGGTAACATGAACTAGAAATTTTTTGACATACACAAGAAAAAAATCTTAAATCTGACCACTTTGATGTCAGGTAAGAAAGAAATCTTCCATGGAGATTAAATAAGAAAATTTAACTAAGTCTGAGGGAATTTTAAGATTTAAAGAATTTTAATCTTGTAACCTAGAATCTTCCCTAGAAATATTGTCTTTACTAAAGAAATTTCAAGATTACAATAATTCTAATCTTGTAAGTTAGAATCTCCTCTAGAAATATTTCTTCACCAAAGAAAAATCAAGATTTAAAGAAGCCTATTTTAGAAAAATTATCTCCACTCAAGAAAAATGAGAAAATTGTTCTTGGTGCAAGAACGTAGGTATACAGAAAATTTATTTTTTTCTTATTTTTTTCTTATTATTCTCCTCCAAAGAAAAATTTTCTTCCCATGAGAAAATAAGAAAAACAAGAAAAAGCATTTTTGGTAGTGTAGAATATGATAGTTCAAATCATTACTGTGTAGAAGAAATTGCTGTTTGCCAAATAGCAATAGTCTTAAATTTGTCCACCAAAACCTGACTTAATGGGTATAATCCAGGTTTGATAAGCAAGGCATAACGGGGACGCTGTTCCTTTTGGCAGTACCTCAGACCGCACCTTTTTGGTCATGCTATGACGGCGCAGGGTCTTTTGTGGCCCGCCCCCTGTAACTCAACAACTACTTATTATTATATCAATTTTTATGTCATTATCACCCATGGACTAAAATTGTCGTTTTTTTTTCTTAAAACCCTTAGGAATACAACCAAATATTAACAAAAGATATCTACAATAGAATATTAAGGTCTGATAGTCTTATGTTGCTCCTGGCAACACCAATGATATCAGTAAGGCGTCATGAAATAACGGAATGGTGATGAAGTTAAGTGGAAAAAAAACGTGGTTTTACCAGAGTTAATGAAGTGGTCCGCCATTTGGATTTTGACCGATGACATAATGAAATTAGCATCAATAATGAATATTTAATTTTAGAAATTAAATAAGATTATAAAAATTATATGTCTGAAAGGAAGTATAATATACATAAAAAGCTGAAAATGTTAATGTGTAAACCAAAATTACTGATTTTTTTTCCAAAACTGTCATAAACCAGTTGCCATGGCATCAGGAAAATCTATCAACTTCATATCTAAATAATATTAAAATACTTGCCAGATACATTCTAGGTTAAGTCACTAAGTTTGGTGGTTCTACCACAGGCCGTTCAGACGCTATACGTTAAGACCCCCCTTCCCCCGGTCTGCCACAAGGCAGGATCTTACCGAGGAGCGGGAATGTTATACATGATGGCTCCACCAGAAACATTGCGCTGACGGAGGAACTCGCACTGGAAGGGCAGGTTTACCGGCTGGTTACGCACAGCGCCGTTGTCGTAAGTCACTTGGTTGGCAATGATTTCGTTGGAGAAGATGAACTTGTCGTCTCCTGAGGTCTTAGGAAATGTAAGAGACACGACAATGCAAAGATGCATAAAGCACAGAACATGGCTGAAAACAACACAGAATTGATTGAATATAGAAAAAAAAGTTTTAAGAAAATTTCGTAGACGTAGTGATGTAATGAAGACAATGTATCCCTCATGTTTCGTCTTCGTCTTCTTCCCCTGCCATTTATTGGCCAAATGACCTGAAATTTGGTATGGAGTGGACAGAATCCATCTCAGCTTCATTCTTGGAACAGGCTTCATGTTTTTACTGTGTTATAGGGAATGCACTATAGCAATGTGTTACCATATTTGTGTGATCATATTTGGGCATGCAGAGGTCTTTATCTGCAAAAGAACATCTGGGCATGGTGCCACATATATATGTACTTATATATATATAATAGGAGCAATGTTCTTGTTTTATAACATTGTTTTAAGTATTGGCCAGGAAAAAGGGGTGTCTTGGGTTGAACATCGATGGGAACATGTCACATACTAAGTAACCTATATTTTTTATATAGCTTACTATTACAACCACATTTTAAAATCATTTAACCGAATTAGCTGCAGATATGCATGCAATGGTGTGGTAAGTAAAGTCGTTGACCTTTTGTTGACATTGTTAGCTATGACGAGGGGGGTCCTCTGTAAAAGTTTGTCATAATGACCGGTGCAGTTTTAGATGTATATACATATGCATGTGTACACATGTGATTACATAAATATAATATAAAATAATCTAGTTGTAAATTCAAATCTGAAAAGGGGTGATCATGCAGATAAGTACTATATTTTGTGTGAAAATGTTTTGTATGTTTTTAAAATTGGAGTCGTTAATTCTATAGGATCCACTTTTTGACATGGTGATTGTGAAAAGGTGATTTGTTTGTGTGGAAATGTATTTTCACCTGGAACATAATATCATGTGTAGTCACTAGAAGATTTCATTCTTAAAGAGGGTGGTCAGGGGGAATTTATGGTACAGGGATATGGTAAAGCAAGTTTCTGCCATTCTAGCTTTACAGTAGATCACAAAAAGTCAAAACTCGAAGTATGTTTCTTTACCTACATCCTCTGTGTAAGGAGGAACCGGAGTTATCTGTCTTACCTCCTGCCTTGTTCCGCACTCCTGCAGGTGTGTCTCCAACTTAAAGACATCTTCGTCTTCGTCCTCAGTGGCTCCACAGTCCGGGTCCAGCAGGTGCAGGTTCTCCACATTCACAGCCGGCAGCGCCGCACGGGGGATGGACAGACTCATACTGTCCTGGTCGCACTCTACGTTCACGATAACCGCATCTGGAACAGTAAACCAGCCCCTTGTGTGTATCCGTGTTGGCTTGTGGGGAGGGTAATCCTATGATAATGAATCCTAAAAGGATTTCCCTTGACTTGACTAAAATAAAATCATAAGCCATTAAAGAAGAAAAAAGTAGTTACATTCAAAGTTCTTTTTAAACATATTTCCTTTACACCACGGAGAAATACCGGCAGCACACAGGCAGCAGAAGACATATTCTGGCGGGTTTCCTAACATGAACTGCGAGTTCTAGTAACAGGAAAATAGGTGATTTGGGACTCCGTGTCATCTATGGAGGTTGGCTTACCTAGCAGAATCGGCCAATTATACAACATCACGTAATGTATTCAATGTTGCACAAAGCCATGGTTGGCTCAGCGTTCATTCCCCCAGTCCTGTCACATCACCCACCTGTGGTGTATGTTCCGCTGATCTCCCCGTTTGGCTTGTCGTCCTCGTCAAAAGAAGTCAATGTGAGGCTGTATTCTGTTTCGGCGAGCAGTCCTAGCACGGTTGCCGAAGTGGCCCCCGTTCCTGGTGCGGGGGAGAGGTCCTGGTACGAGCCCGACCCGTCTGCCGGCTGGTAGCGGAGCCTGTATCGCGAGATCGGTAGATTCCCCACGACTGTCCAGGAAACCGTGAGATGATCCATCCCGGCATCATTGAGGGTCAGGCCCAAGAGCACTGGAGATATACGTTATATTGATTATGAATGATAAAACGTTGCTAATTGGCTAGACTCTGCTAATGCATTAATACTCAACAGAAACCTACTGCTAGTGCTGCAGCAAAGAATCTCAAATTATTAATTATATTATTAATAAATTAAACACTATTAAAAGTTTTATAATGTACTAATCCCACCACCTCTGCCCTGTATTCCTTGTTAAGACTGCAACTTGAATAAACATTCCAATTGAACTGGACTGCCAATGCAACAACAAAAACCTACTGCCAGTACTGCAGCCTAGAATTTCCACCCTCATAGTTATCCACTCATTCCAGGACTGAGGGTAGAAGCGCACATAGCGGGCATCAACGGGGTTGTCCAGTAGGTTCGTTACAGGTGTGTTCGTGTCCGTGTTGCCTGTGAAAACCTGGAAGGTAAAGGAATGATTCAGATGGCTAATTTAGACACATCTGTCAATCTCCGAAATCTATATGTACATTGTATAAAACACGACATCCATAACCTGGCATGAAGTATCAGCCTTTGGGTCGTGTGACGTAACAGTAGTGTTTGTCATAGAACCAAGAGGACCTGGGTTCAAACCCTGTCATGATCTTGTGCACCTGGAAATGACACTTTATGCGACTCTCCTCACTTTACTCAGTTGAAACGGAGTATTGTATAATCTTCCTTCAATCTGCGCTGTTTGGTGGCAGCATAAAACCGTGCCAATAATTGAGTGTGCCCTCACCACATCTTGTCGTTATGTTGGAATAAATGCCGCATTTTAACTATCACATTATCTATATATTCAAAAAACAAACGGGTATCCGTAAAGAATGCAGAACAGAATTAATAATCTTCTTCTGTATGGGCTACCTTATCAACTCCATCGCTGCCTGCATATGTCGTCCAAGCAGCCCCATCTGCACTGTGCTGGATTTTGTATGACTTCACCCATTGTTCCAAATCCCGACCAAATGCGCGACCCTGGGTGATGGTACCCGTGATAAGCTTCATCTCCCCTAAATCCACCTGAGAGGCAAAATAATTTTGTTATAATCTACCAAAATCCATAGAACAGATGTAGTCTATAGCGCTTAGTGGCATACACCAGTAGCTGAAATTAGCCAAGTTCACAGAACAATGTGTCATATATTCTTATGTCATAATCTTAGATCCATTTGAAATCAAAACGCCGAGTACTGTAAATGCCGAATAAAGTAAAGAAGGCACTTGCTGAAAATAAAAAATAATGTTGAGTCAGTTCCAAGTGCCGGTTTCCAAAACGTGTTCTATTGAAAGCTAATTGAGAGCTACGGATTATTCTGTTTTCGAATACGGCAGTTGCGGCGACCTGAGGGGTCTGATGGGTGGAGTTACCTTTAACAAAATTTAGGGGAAAGAATCACTTTGAAAATAGGCAAAACTGCAAAAACCTGTAACCATTCTCCGATAACGTTGGTTTGGACCGCCCAACCGCCATTTCCAGCCACTCCATTTAACCGTGCGCGGTAGGGTTCTAAAGTTGCACCCACAAACGAAGATGCAGTGATGCTGTCATCAGGTATGGCACCAGACTCCATTCCAAGCGGATCCTGACAGACTGGTGGAAAATATATATATATATATATATATATATATATATATATATATATATATATATATATACCTATTGGAAGTTATTACACGATCCTCGACCACAGCACACACATGCACGGCATCGTGATTTTTCATAATTCATTCTATAAAGCATAAAGCTAAAAACAATTCTATAATCTACAATTATACTACATAAGAACAAGGAAATTATATTTCGCAATTAATGCTTCTCCCATGTGACACAAACGGGAAACTTAGGCCCGATTCACACGTGCGCGCGCCAAATCGCCTACGACACTTTCCCGTTTACACACAGGGACCACAGCTCCCGCTTCGCGCCGCATGTGTGGCGGTCTGCGTCGCTCTGCGTCACATGTGGTGAACCCTGACTTGCCGTGACCTTTGACAGGCGGGAACTGAAGCGCTGTTGTTGTTTTTTTTCTTCTTCTTTAATGATGATTTTCTTCTTCTCTCTCGCGTACTTGCAGCGCCGGGCATGGCGCAGAAGACGGTTTGGACGTCATAGCGATCGGAACCACGATATCCAACTGGTAGCTTTCCAGTGTAGCCACAATTACTGAACACAGCCCAATCAAACAGCGCGTTTCAGCGCTAGCTGCTTCAGTTAGAGATGTTGAAAAGTTCCGCCATGCTCAGCAAACAATCAGTATAATGCTGAGCAAACAATCAATATAATCTGAAGAAACAATTAACAACAAGTAGAAATTGATACAGAAATTAATAAATACAAAAATTTGTATATGACCCATGACCTACTGTGACGCGGAAATGGGCTGCGCGCGACGCAGGTCTGTTTACATGATGTTTTTCAACTCCTGGCCGCAGACTCCCCGCTGTGTGTCGCGATGCACTTTTGGCACCTCCTGAAGGAGCCACAGAAAAAACGACGCAAGGCGCCGCGCGGCGGTGGCGGGCCTGTTTACACGCTTGAAAAATGTGTCGCGCGTCGAACGACGCCCGTCACATAAAAACGACGCACGTGTGAATCGGGCCTTATATAGAGTTTTATGTGAGGCCAGCCTACAGATCTATCATACGACGCTAGTTAGTTGGGCAAACATTATCATTTATCACACCCACCTGTAGTGTATGTCCTGTTGATGACCCCATTTGGTTGGTCGTCCTCGCCAAACGAAGTGAGCGTGAGGGAGTATTCCGTTTGATCCATGAGTCCCAGCAACGCTGCCGAGGTGGCTCCCGCTTCTGGTGCGGGGGAGAGGTCCTGGGACGAGCCCGACCCGTCTGCCGGCTGGTAGCGGAGCCTGTAGCGGGAGATCGGAAGTCTCTCCAAAACTGTCCAGGAAACGTTGAGATGACTCATCCCGGCATCACTGAGGGCCATTCTCCAGAGCACTGAAAACGTTATGTTATATTTAAGGGTTAATGACCCGCCCCGGGGTGAATATGGTGTGATAAAGCCTTGCCAGTTGCTATAACCACCGAATGAAGCCACCAAGTGAGCGCAGCGAACGAGATGGTTATAGCAACTGACAAGGTTTTATCACACCATATTCACCGAGAAAGGGCGGGCCATTAACGCTATTATCATATAGCTTACACGATAGCCTATCCAAACTGATGCAGTGAAGAGTGACACAATGTACCATTTACCCATTGCACATGCTGAATAGAACATGGAATATTTGTTTCATCTGGAGTCACCTGAGGTCACTGGGGGGTTCACGTTCTATCAGGGTCACAAGCAGGGAACTGGTGTTCTTATGGGAGTCACCCGAGGTCATTGGAACACAACTCAAGTTATTTTTGGATTTTTAGAAGGGAATCGTGTTCTATATGGGTCACCCGAGGTCATATGCGGGTGATTATTGGGTTGTCTAATGTATGGGTTGGGATGAATAAACACCCGGTTTTGACTCTATTTAAGACATCACGGCGTCATAAGGAATGTGGAATGGAGCCTTCTGATTGGTCAAAGTCACCCGGCTATATGATAATGATTAATAATGATCAAATATTGCAAGTAAATCGAAATATATAAATGCAACGAAAGAAACTTACTATTTGTGCTGCAGCCTAGAATCTCCACCCTCATGCTGATGTAAGCATACCAGGCTTGGGGATTGAAGCGCACATAACGGGTATAAATGGGGTTGTCCAGTAGGTTAGTTACAGGTGTGTTCATATCATTGTTGCCTGTGAAAACCTAAAACGATAAAATTACTGCATATTTAACAGTTCTGTACTTTTATTATTAACTACGTAACAATCTCAATACCTTTGGCATTCCATTTAAGTGTATTAATTAAGCTAAACGTAAGCTCCCGACCCCCATGCGTTTGTGATGGTACAGCTCAGCTTTGTGAAAATCTCATTCAAATGTGATATTTTGGAGCGTGTCACATTTCGAAATTGATATGACGTACTTAGTTAGCTAATAATTAAATACTATATGTAAAAACTGATATGCGTTAACCCTACCTAGACCGGGCTTTTTTTGGTATGGGGGACCGGGGGGGG